TTCAGGGGCCTCCGCCTCCTCTCCCTCCTCCATGTCTTAGCAAATATTAATAGCCAAGAGCCTCGCTGAGTGTGGTTTTTAATAGAATCCAATTTCAGTCCATTTAGAGTGGGACTTTTCATGCTGACTCCATAATTTGAACTATGCCACGACTGATGGACTGAAGGCATTTCCCCCGCCTCTGCTGCTGCCCTGGGCTGGTGCAGTCATGGGAGTGGGGAATGGGGCATCTTAATCAAAGCAGCTGCATATCAGATATTTGACCTCACAACCAGTCTTGTCTTTCCTGCCCTGAGGCATGTGATGAGGATACCAAGGGCGCTGGAAGGAGAGTGGGAAATGACCACTCTGTTTCCAGACAATTGCCTTCTTGTAGCTCAGAGACTGCTGGCTTCAGGGTGAACTGTCTGGAAGAAACCCTTGTTGCTCTTTGGATGTGACGGGAGGACAGTAGGTTCTGAAAACCATCAGAATGATTCCCATTGATTGCTGCAAAGTGTCTGCTATGCCTGGGGAGGTCCTGGGGTGGAGTGCAGGACTTCCTCTGTCCCTTACACAACTCCCAAGCATTTGTCCTGTTTGTTTGACAAGAGAGCAATCCAAGGGCTTGTTGGGAAGTCCCTTCCTCCTAGAGTGGAGAGCGTGGGGATATGAAAGACAAGCATGTAGGAATTAGTAGCCCCTCTGTAAGTGAGGAAACTGAGGCTGAGGCACTGGGGGAAGGAAATGCAGATCTATTCTGTGCTTGCTCTGTAGCAAGTACTGAGTCGGGAGACAGTTACTTCTTGTTTTTAATTTTTTTTTTTTTTTGGTTGCAGATGGACACAATAGTTTCATTTTCTTTATTTTTATATGGTGCTGAGGATCGAACCCAGTGCCTCACACATGCTAGGCAAGTGCTCTACCACTGAGCCACAACCCCAGATCAGACAGTTACTTCTTTTTTTAAAATTTTTTTTAGTTGTAGATGGATATAAAATATTTTATTTATTTATTTTATGTGGTGTTAAGAATCTAACCCAGTGCTTCACACGTGCTAGGCAAGCACTCTACCTCTGGGCCACAACCCCAGTCCCCCACCACCACCCCCAAGTTAATTCTTAACCCTTTCCATATCCTTTTTAGGGATATAACATTGTTTCCATGTGCAGGTTAGGAAAATGAGGGTCAGAACAATTAAGCCACTTTCCCAGGGTCACAATCACTCCTAGATGATACATCTCGGATTCAAACAAAAGTCCTTCCAAAAGGTCATATGGTTTGAAATTTAGAGCTGAGTGCTCTAAAATGAGTCTTCTGGTCTACCTCCGTGGTGGCTCCTCAGCATCCGGGTCATCAGAAACACTTCAAAACGTTTTAAAAAGCTTTAGTATCTTGAGCATTATCCCCGTGAGTCTGATTTATTGGGATTGGAGCAGAGCCTGAGACAATATATTTTTAAAAAGCTCTTGCAAGTGATTGTGATGATTTGGAGGCACAGGGCTGGAGCACATGGCTTCTCTGCTGAACCAGGCCTCCTAGGACTTCTTCATTTCTCAGAAGTACAGATCTAGTCCAGCCCTGCATTTACCACAAGTGACATTTGCTGTTGAATCCATTATTCATCTGTGGCAGGCTCAATGTTCAATAGCTTTTGAGTACCTATAATGTGCCAGGCACTGGACTGGACATTGTTTTTGTTTAAATTTTTGTTTAGTGATAGATGGACACAATACCTTGGTTTTATTTATTTATTTTTATGTGGTGCTAAGGATTGAACCCACTGTCTCACATGTGCTAGGCAGGTGCTCTACCACTGAGCTACATACAACCCCAGCCCCTGTGCTGGACATTCTGACTGCAAAGATCAATCGACCATAGTTCCTGCCTTGGGGGGCATCCGTATGGTGGGAGAGATGAATCCAACTAGGAAATTCCAATCATTTGAAGCACATGCTGGGCAGAGGTAGGCTGGTGTTGCTTTGGGAGCAGTGAACCCAGATCAAGACTTACAGGAATTAGCAAGGCAAAGAGAAGATGGACGGAGTGAGAAATGACAAGGATGCAGAGGGAACAGCATAAAAAGTCCCAAAAGCTCAATGGTTCAGGACTATGTGACAGTAAAATGTAGGATACCTTGAAAAGAGGGCCAGGAGGTGAGCCTGGGAAAGTCAGAGGGAGCAAATACATGAAAGAAATGTTAAGGAGTTAGTTATATGTTAAGGAATTTGCCGTTTCCTAAAGGTGATGAGAAGCCATGAAAAATCTTTAAGCTCTGGAACGACACGATCAGATTACATCTGAGAAGGGTCACTCTGGTAGAAATGAGAGAAAAAACTGGAGGCAGGAGAAGCCAGCAACAGAGGAACAAATTAATTGCAGAATTAAGAATTTATGTATGTCAAAAAGCACCATAAACAAAATTTGAAAGCAAAGCACTTGGAAAGCAATATTTGCAGCATTTCTTGACAAAATAATATTCTTCAAATTACAAATCGATAATAAACATACCAATATCAAATAAATAGAAAATTCACAAAGAAAGAAGTACAAATGGTCAATAAGCATATGAAAATGTTATTCACTAATAATGAAAGCTAAAATAAGATTGACATACTATTATTTTGCCTGTCAAATTGGTAGAGATTTGATTAGTGATAATACCCAGTGTTAGGTTGCAGGAAACAGGACACTCTAGAGATTGCAAATAGGACAGTGTTTTGGTACACACTTCCTGGGGGGCAATTGGCAATATGTATCAAAATTCTTAAAAATAGCCAAGCAATTTCCTTCTTGGATATAACCTAAGGAAATAGTCATAGGGGTGTGCAAATTTTAGCTACAGGGTTGTCTGTTGCACCATTATTTACAAGAAAGCCTGGGAACAAATGAAATTTGGGTGTTGATTACAAAATGAGGGTTCATCCATACAATGAAGATGCTATTTCCAAAGTCTGGAAGACATACATAAAAAATGTTCAGAATATATTCAGTGAAATAATAAAAGGAGCAAAAAAAAAAGTGTGTCCAATAAGCTACCACTGTGTGTGATAAAAGTATATATGTAAGTTCAAAAATGTGTATCTCTGAAAGGATATTCAAGAAATTAGAGGCAAACTAGATGTTGGCAGACAGGGAAGGAAGAGTTACTCCCGACTATAGAGCTTTTTGTACTTTTTGAATTTTGTTTCTCTATATGTATTACCTATTCTAAAATATAAATATGCATTTTGAAAAGTAAGTTATTAAAGAGTATATACAGTGTGATCCAGTATTTTTTCATAAAAAACAAAACAAACAAAAAAACCTGTGCCTGTGTGTGTGCATATATTTATACCAAAAAGAACAAAAGATATAGTTCTTGGGTGGTAGAATTATGAGTTGAATTTTGTCATTTTTTTTCTTTTTCTTTTTCCCCCTAAATTTTCTACAATACATGTGTGAGACTTTCATAACTAAACAAAAAGTATAATTTTTTTTTCCCCACAAAAAGTCTATCACAAAAGTCCAGGCAGAAGATGATGATGCAGGTCAGACCCATGATTAGTGCTCTGTCTATAGAGTTCAACAGTGACATCCGAAAAGTGTATAATTAAACCACAGTCCCTGTTTTTAAGTGGGGTGGAAAGAAGAAAGCTGAAGAGTTAATAAGGTTAAATGAACCTGATTTTGATTAACAGCTCTCTGTTGGACAAATGCATTGAAAATTCAGTCCTACCACCCTAAACATCAACCAATCACCCAGGCAGCTTTTTTCGGGGGGTGGAGGATTGTTCAAGTTCGGGTCACAGTGAATGGAGTTCCACTAAGCATATGTAATCTAAGTCAACAGACATGCCAATGGCTTATACACTTGTGTGAGCTTCTGAGAGGTCGTCCTCACCTAGTTCTGGTTTCTAAGTGTTCTCTTTGGGATGGTAACCGTCTTGTCCCTATCTGTCCAGTCCTGTCCCAATGCACACATTTAAGCAAGACTTCTCTCCTACCTCCACGTTGGAAATAGTTACTCAGAGTCCTTTCAGATGCAGGAAGAATAAAGAAAGACCCTGCCAATTTGAACTGGTTCTGCAGGCCACCTCTGACCTCATCTTTATCCTTCATCTTCCAACAAACAGCCAACTCATGAACTTTCCCAAGTTGAAGACTTGGGAAAGGGGGAGCTTTGTGCGTATGCTAATGCTCAGCCTGAGGGTAGTTTTGGGTTGGGGGTCATGTTGAAGCCATTTTGGAGAAAGAGGGATAGAGAGAAGGATGTGATGGGGTGGGGGAACAGGAGCAGAAAATGTGGCAGCTAGAATGGCTTTTTCTTTTCCCCTTCTTCAGAGGGTGAGCTACAGGTAAGCAATTGTGGACCCCTGGATATTTCTAGCACCTTCCGCAGCTCCCTTTGAAAGTCTTTGGGGAGCTATGTGAATATAACCTGTGTTGCTGGCTTTTGGGCCCCTGGGCAGTGATTGGATCTTGCAGTGACAGAGCCTCTGCTTAAATAAATAACCCATAATTAACTTTGCATTTCCTTTTCGTCTGTACCTATAATTGTAATCCTTTCCCAGAACTGGGGATGGGGTGGGGATGCTGGGTGGGTTACTTAGATACGTGCTGGCTTCATAAGTAAGTAGAATGGACACTATATGAAAAAACTGTTGGATCTCCGCTGTCTTTGCTGGTCTGTCACTGCTCTGACCTCTAGGGATTCTGATCACTGATCTTTTTCTGCCTTGGGTAAATACAAGAGGGGGCCCATGTACCACAATTGACATGGTGAAATAATTTCAACCTAATGCTTATTGTCCAGGTCTGAAACAGTTGTAACTCCCTAACATACTATGTACAGAGTCAACTAAGTACAGGATAATTATTAGCTAGAGCTCTCGAGTCAGATCTGGTTCAAATCCTAGCCTTTGTCCCTTAAGGCCATGCAACCTTAGGGTAGTTAATTTTCTGGTTTTCAGTTTTCTTATCCATCACTTGGGAATAGTATCTCACAGAATAACTGTATGAAAGAAATGAGATTGTCCATGTAAAGATCTGAGGATAGTGCATTTAATAAATCCTAACTATTCACATTATTGCATCGGTATATATCTTAATTTTGTACAATAGTATCTCACTAATCACACGAAAAATACACCAAAGTGCTCTGAAAACATTGAAGCATCATATAAATTAAAGGTGTCATTGGTAGTAATCTCATATGCATTTCTCAACTCTTCCAAACTCTTTGAAGACTGGGACCACATCCTGTGTCCCAGGGCATATTGCACTACAATGAGCAAACAGCAAGCCCTCAGTCAATGTTTCTTGTTTGACTGAAGCAACATGGCATAGCATAAAGAGCAGGGGTACCAGGAGACTAGGCTGGGATAAAATTATTTTAAGGCAGGAGAGTCAGTCTGCAGTTATAATGTATTCATTCAACAAACATTTGTTGAACACATTTTATGCGTTAGATATGGAGTCCAGATCATTTCATCAAAAAGAGGCCTTACAGGTTCCCTCGAAGCCAGGCCCCAGGGCAGTCTCCATGATCCCAGCCCACTCTGTAAAGCACAAAGGCCGCAGTCAACGTGGCATACGGCTCTGGACAAATGGCCCTGCACTTTGGGGGAAGCCCATCCTGCCCAGTTGTAAGCAGCTCTGAGGGAGGATTGGGGGAGGAGGTGAGGGAGGGAGGGAGTGGATCCCCACAGGGTGACAGGAACCGCTGCCTGAAAGTTTGTTTTTATTTACACTTAAGGAACCCACAGTGGGATCCCCCAGCCTACACAATGCTCTTTCCCTTACCCATCATCTGTCCCTCCCCTGTCCCCAACCTGCTCTGCCCTTGTGCTGTCCCAGCTGCCTACTGGCTGGGAGTTGGGGGAATGGTATGTGTGGTCACCAGAGGGCACTGAGCGTGGGCCTCAATGGCATGTGAATCCTGGCAGAGAGAAGGAAGCACAAGCCAAGCCAAGTGATGGGGAGGGTGGCAGGGGCTAAGGTGACAGGGGGCTAGGGGCGGGCGTCCAGTTACAAGTCCAGTCTTTAATGTTGGCTCCACCTGTGCTTCTGGTGTTTGCTTCAGCCCTAGATTTGTCACAGTTGCCTTAAGGTGTCCTGGTCCATCAGGAGGACATAGCAGGTTCCAGACCGTGGGCTCCGTGCCTGCTGCCTTCCCAGCATTCCCAGCCTGTGAGACTCCCCCCCAGCAGACGTTAGGCCCCTCTCAGTCGCTGACCTGCCAGTGAAGAGGAGTCTCTGTGTCTGGGCAGCCCACCAGATTCCAAATGTGCATCTCACCTTCTTTTCACACTGGACACAGACAGAGTTGAGGAACAATGGGAGGAAGAAGGGGAGCTGGAAGAAGTGGGGGTAAAGGGACAGAATCTAGGGTGGGGCTCTCCACCAGCGGGTGCCTGGAAGTCTCCAGTCAGGCGTGGGTGTCTCTGGAGAGGCTTGGTAGTTACATGGCTTCTTTCTCCCTCTGGGAGCATCTGCTGAGCTTCATCTCCGTCAGCTGGATATACCGAATCACGTTGGTGTCTGCGAGGAGAGAAACATACCTGAGGGGACAGCCAGGAGGGCACAACTGCATCTACACCGAATAGGGCAAAGCTGGGCCTGCAGCTCAGGAACAGGGCAGGTGACTCACTCAGCCAAGGTCCCTTGGCCTTTCCATGGTGGCGGCTGAGAGGGGAACCAGATGTTGGCCTTCTCTTTCACTACCTCTCCTTGCAAATGTGGATAGCTCGCTGTGACCCCAAGGGTCAGTCAGGAGGGAGAGGAGAGGAGAATTTCTCTTCCATTTCTATGCAGCAGACATCCCAGTCCCTCCCAAATCAGCAGTTAGCTGCAACTCCACTTGGAGATTAACCTTAGATAAATTACCAACTCCTCGGATCCTAATGTCTCACTTGCAAGAAACAACCTTCATTTTTGAATGCCTGCTTTGTGCTGCTTTTGCTTGCTAGTTCATTTATCACTGGATTTTTATTTTTTTTCCCAGGCCTGGGGATCAACGCAGGGCCTTGCACAAGCTAGGCAAGCACTCTACCACTGAGCTATACCCTCAGTCCTTTTTAAAAATTGTATTTTGAGACAAGGTCTCGCTGAGTTACCCAGGCTGGCCTCAAACTCATGATCCTCCTGCCTCAGCCTCTGGAGTAGGTGGAATACAGGCATGTGCCTCTGGGCCCAGTTTGTGCCAGCTTTAAACATTCATTTTCTCATTTAATCATCACTACACTTCTGCAAAGATTTTTATCCTCATCCTCACTGGGACTGGGAAGACTGGGACCTGGAGAGATCAAGTAAGATACCTAAGGAGACGCATAGTAAATGGTGTGCCTAATTCCAAAGCCTGGCTCTCCTATGGAGTAGAATACTATTCTCACGTTGTGTGTGGTGGTGCACATCTGTAATTCCAGCAGGTTGGGAGGCTGAGGCAGGAGGATTGCAAGTTCAAAGCCAGCCTCAGCAAAAGTGAGTTCCTAAGTAACCAAGTGAGACCTGTCTCTAAATAAAATATAAAATAGGGCTGGGGTTGTGCTCAGTGGCCGAGTGGCCCTGAGTTCAATCCCTGGTACCCCCTCACCAAAAAAAAAAAAAGAATATTATCCTCACAAAGTTGACATGAGGACCAAGATAGACAAGTCTGAAAGTGCTTAATACAATGATCAATAAATATTAGTTGAATGTGCTTTTTTTTTTTTAACTTGAAGAGTTTATAATGACTTTGTTTCACTTAGTTTTGTCTTTATAAGTCAGACAACCACCTTTCCACAACTGGGACATTTCCCCTCAATTCCAGTCCTCAAATTAGTGAGCAGGGCGTGACATGGAACAACTGCCCAGCTCTGCATACATCAGAGCAAAATAGTTACAGGGTTACCAGGATATCTATATCCAGAAATAGAAATGAATACTGTATCATGCTCCAAAGTGCCAGGCAGCATCCAGAACAGTACTGGCACAGAGTAGGTGATCAAGAAAATTCTCGAGTCCAGTTCTTAGTTCTCAGGTTGCTAACAGTATAGTTGCTAGAACACAATTTATATACAGAAAACAAACCAATATCACATAAAAATAAAGAGGTGTTCTTAGAAAAGTATTTATATGGACATTTGCAAACAGATCCTAAGGTTCTTAAAGACTTCATGGAAGGAGGATTAAAAAAAATAGTACTATATGTTAATAATGATGGTAACATCAAATCAAAGAAATCGATTGAATGTTACATCCTCAGAGAGGCTCTTTCTGATCACCTGGCCGAAAATAGCACTTCTTTTTCTCTGCTTTAGTTTCTTCAGAGGATTTGCCACTACTAAAAACTCTATCATCTATTTGTCCATTCACAAACTGTCCATCTTTCTCCACTCTAATGTGAATTCCTTGAGCTACGACTACCCTCCTGCTAGAATAGTTGCCGGCCCACTGTATGCTCTCTGTAAATGTCTGTGAAATGAGGGAGTGAATGAATGAATGATTGGGTGAGCTAATGTACATGATCTCCACGAACGATAGAGGTCACACTCACTTGCCAACCAGATGTGAGCTCTTCAGGAGAAGGGAGCATGTCTTCTCATCTCCGTTCCCAGGACCCACCCCAAATGGGGATATATGGTCAGAATTTGACATTCTGAGTTGGACAAGGCAAAACATTCTGCAGTCTATTTGGAGAGAGAGGTGCCCCTGCTCCCTGGAACCCAGGCCCCAGGTGAATGCACAGCTGTGTGCTCTCCTCGTTCCAGATCTTACCATTCACCTGACCCCTGATTTGCATCTCTGTCCCCACCAGGCCCCGCTAGCCTGGGTGCTGCAATGAGAAGGCCCCAGGAGCCACCAGAGCGGGCTGATGGAAAGCGGTAAGCCTTACCTGTTGGTTGTCGGGTTCTTGCTTCCTTCAGGTAGTAGAGTGCTTTGTCATAGTCCCCAAGGTGGTAGAAGGCCACACCAGACCGGTAGAGGGCCTTGAAGTTCTCCCCTTCCTTCTTCAGCACTTTGAGGCAGTACTCCTTGACGCGCTCGTAGTTTACCAGCTCAGCCTGGAGCAGGCAGGCTGTGGAGGAAGGGAGAAGAGAGGGAACGTGCCATCAACATGACAGCAGCAGTCTGTGGGTCTGTCCTCAGTTCCTTCTCTCCAGAGGAGGTTAGATGCTCTGGGCTTTCCACTGGGGGTTAAGCCCTCAACACGACTTCTAATCATCCTGGGTTGTGGGACCAGTTTCATCATCAACAAGCTATGTGACCTTGAGCCAGTGATATAGCCTTGCATCAGGAGCTGAGTGATGCCTCTCCTCTCCTAAAAGACACGTTGGAGTCCTGCCCCCCATTATTGCAAAGTTGCCTTTTTTTTGGGGGGGGGGGGGGGAAAATAGGGTCTTTCCAGAGATAATCAAGTTAAGAGGCAATCATTAGGGTAGACCCAAATCCAACATGACTGGTGTGCTTATTAAAGCAGAAATCTGGACACTGAGACAGACACACACAGAGGAAAGACAATATTAAGAAGCAAAGGTAGAAGACAGCCACCCTCAAGCCAAGGAATACCTGAGGTTACCGGAAGCTAAGAGGCATGGGACAGATTCTACCACAATCCTTTGAAAGAACCAACTCACCAACACCATGATTATAGACTCTTAGCCCCCAGGACTGACAGTCCGATATATTTTTATTACTTTGTGCTACCTGGTTTGTGGGACTTGTTGGAGCAGCCCTAGGAATAAGCTACTGTAGGCGATAAAAATAGTAATAATAACAACCACAGCTAATATTTGGTGAATGTTTACTTTCTGCCACTTCTTACCTGATGGAAACCTCAGAACACTATGCTGTAGGTACTACCATTATTTCCATTTAAAAGGAAGCTGAGGCTCAGAAAGCTGGAGAAATTTCCCAAGGGCACACAGTGTGAAAGAGGCGAGGATGAGATTAAAACTAAGCTGTTTGGCTTCAGAGCCTAAGTTCTTCCTTATAGAGTTGTTAGGGGATTATAGAAAACCAGGACCATAAAGTATATGTAGCACAGGGCTTGGCACAAAATGAGCACTCAGTTATTGGTTAATATTACTATAATTCTGCCTTGGACATCCCCCAAGGGAAGTCTTTATTTTTCCCTTTATCACTTATTTGTCTCTGCAGTTCCAGGGAGCAGGGACCATCTGCTGGACTAGCGGCTAGCTCCTGCAAGGTGAGCCACAGGGATGGGACCAAGGTGAGGATGTCCCTGGAGGGGGACTGAACAACCTTGGAGAGTGTTTGAAATTTGGGGCCCTAGGTACGTCACTCTGGCCCTGCTGAGCCACCTCTGCCTCCCTTAGATCACTCATATATTTAGTAGCACTGACTACAGGGAAAGAGGCGTGCTATACACTTTGGAGATGCCTAACTGTGCTGGGTACCAAGTGGACAAAGAGGGCACTTTCTACTTTTTCAAAATAAATTTTAAAAAGAGACATTGGGGACAAAACTGTTACTTCCCCCAAGACCTGACTTGGCAGGGAGTAGGGTGAGGGCAGATGCTGATGCCAGTTTCCTTCTCTGAACTCAATGAGAAAAAGTGTCCTTAGGGTAGAGGCAAAGGCTGATTTTTCTCTTATGGGGTCTAACTGCAGTTGTTGCAGTGCCTTAAATAACTTCCCAGGTGTCAGAATCACCAAGCTTATTTTTAAGAGAGTGGACCTTTCCTTGAACATTTTGTGAAAAGAAAAACCTCCTTTGGCAGGAGGAGGAGGAGGAGGGAAACCGCACCAACTCTCAAGTTACAGGTAGGAGAACCAGGAAGGGAAAGAGAATCAGCTGAGATCTAGAAACTGACCTGTCTGGTTTCACAGGCTGCAGAGCAGAAAGCCAAACCAGTCAACTCCAGAAGCAGCAGGGTGCTCAGCCCAGGGTCTGCGGGAGCATCAGGGCTCCTTCACCTGAAGCTGATGCCACAAGCTCCCCTTCTTGGTCTCCCAGCAGTGGGGGCCATCCTCCTCCCCAGCCCCATGGTCTTGGAGCTCTGCAGATAGGGAGGGGGTTCTGTAGAAAGGTTCCAGGGTGTGAACACCATGGACTGCTACCTGTGCCAGACTTGGCTCCAACATCTGCTCCCAGAGCCAAAGGATTTCCTGTGTGCGGCCTCCCCCTGCCCTGATATCCCCTCTGATCAGGCCCAGCAGCCTCTTCCGGTCCAGCCCTCTATCTCCAAACACCCGCTTCTGTTTGCTGCCCTGGTCTGTGTAGGAAACAGACCTTTGTTTCTTTTAAAAAACAGTTTGGAATGTCTAAGAGTGGGGAAAGGAAGCAGAGAGGGCTCGAAATGGGAAAGTCTTTTCCTCCATTGGTCCCCAAGGGCTGAAGGGAACCTAGCAACCATTCCTGGGATTTGTTTGTTGAACATGTTTCTGGTACCTTGCAGGGAAGCCCGTGGGAAACCGGGATGCCTGGCTGTGACCAGGGTTCACACCTGGTTGGAGGCAGGGCCAGGGTGGTTTTCAGGGTGTGGGGCCCTTGCTGATATCACAGGCCCAGCCCAGCAAGACCAAGAAATGGTCCAGAGAAAGGCTGGGCTGGGAGGCAGAATCCAGATAAGAGGCCATGGCGCCAGGTAAGGGCTCTTAAGAGGGTGTGGGTGTGGAGGAGGGAGAGACAGTCTAGCCTCAGCCCTACCTACAGGTGACATGAAGGCACCTGGGCTTTGGGTGGGGAGCTATTGGTAGATATAACAAGTCCATGGGCTAGGGAAGATGGGGGGTGTTCCTAGGCACATTTGAGAGGTGAGGGACATAAGAAGAAGTTGGCAGTCTGCCTCCAGATTCTTCCAACCCCATCCCTGTGGCTATTAACCAGTGCCTACTTGCAGAGGGCTCTCAAAATAAGTGGCATTGTCCCTCAGCATGTCCTCCTCACAGTGATTAATCCCATACCCAGTGCTGGTGCTGGAGCTCAGTATTTCACATACTCTATGCCTTTGAATCTTCACAACTCCATGAAACGGGTTCTATTTTTATGTTTCTTTCATAGATGATAAAATGGAGTTCCAGAGAAATTCAGCGACTTGCTGAAGGTCACCCGGCTAGAGGGTGGTGGAGTTATAATATCAGCCCGTTTCTGTCAGTCTCCCAAGATTATGCATTTGACCACTGGGGTGTCTGTGGCCTGCATTTGGGACCCCTGGAAACCCTCATAACCCCTGGGGAGAAAGAAAGGTTATCTGTGCTCTATCATCCTCAGTGTCCTCAGGCTAACAGGAAAAAAAGATGCCTAACTGTGCTGGGTACCAACTGGACAGTGGGAGCAGATGATGACCAACAGCCTACTCTGTCCTCTGAGTGGGGAAAGGAAGCAGAGAGGGCTCGAAATGGGAAAGTCTTTTCCCTCCTCTGGCCCCCAAGGGCTGAAGGGAACCCTTCAGCAGATGGGGAAGGCAGATGTTACATTATCTCAAAATGTTCACCTGGAAGCTAAGTGCTGTGAAGGAGAGGGACATAGTAGAAGCACACCGAGAGGGGAAGGACCCTCGGTTTTATCTAAAGCATCAGGGGAGGTCTTCTTGGAGGAAGTGGTATTTCAACTGATTTAAAGATTGCTTCTCAATCTTTGCCCTGTTTGGGGCTGGATCATCTTTTGTGATGGGAGGATGATTTGGGCATTGAAGGTGTTGGCAGCACCCTTGGTCTCTCACTAGATGCCAGTTATGACAACCTGAGGATGATAGAGCACAGATAACCTTTCTTTCTCCAGACATTGCCAGGTATCCCCTGGGGAGGTAAAATCGCCCATTGGAGAATCACAAGCCTAGGTGAAATGGACAAAGGAGAGAAAGAGGACAGAGCATGAGTGACTGCACCAACATGGCCTAATAGAGGAACTCTGACAAGCCACACCAGGCTGCAGCAGAGAGCCGGAGGGGAAGGATGAGAGAAGGCGGAGCTGGAAAAGTAAGAAACCAGGACACTCAGACACTTCCCGTCTAAGCTGGGGATCTGGGACTTTCTCCTAAGGCAAGAGTGGACTGGGATGAAGATGCTGGGTAACTCAAATGGAGGCTGAAAGGAATGGATGGACCTAAGTGGCATTCAGAGAAGCCCTGACTCACTCCCCCTCTGTGGCACACATTTGCAAAGTCAGAGCCCTTTTTTCTTGTCATTTTGGATTTACTGACAACCAAGAAGGGTCCTTCCACATGGTTGCCACCTGGTGTCTATTTCTGAAATGAGGCCTCCATCCTCTGCTGTATAGCATGGATCAATCTTTTAGAGTCCTGGACTGGGAAGAGAGGACCTGCATTCTTTTTTTGTTGTTGTTCTTTTTAGTGATACGCGATAGTAGAATGTATTTTGGCAAACTATACGTACAAAGAATATGATTTATTCTACTAGGATCCCACTATTTGTGTGTGTGTGTGTGTGTGTGTGTGTGTGTGTGAGTGACGCTGGGGATTGAACCCAGGGCCTTGGGCCTGTGAGGCAAGCACTCTACCAACTGAGCTATATCCCCAGCCCAGGATCCCATTCTTATGGTTGTATGTGATGTGGAGTTATCCTGGTCATATATTCAAATATAAGGCTAGGAAAGTTATGTCCAATTAATTCTACTATCTTTCCTCTTCCCCTTCCCTTCATTTCCCTTTGTCTAATCCAATGGATTTCTGTTATTCCCCTCCCCAACCTCCCTTGTTTGGGGTTAGCCAAAGGACTTAAAAACAGCACACTATAGTGATGCATCCACATCAATGATTATAAGAGCTTGACTCACAATAGTCAAGAACCCAGGTGTCCTTCAACGGATGAATGGGTAAAGGAAATGTGGTACATATATACAATGGAATATTACGTATCCATAAAGAAGAAAGAGCTGGATTCTCGTTTGCACCTTTGCCACTAGCCAACATTACTCAAAACACTTTCCCTTTCTGAGCCTTGATTTCCTGTTGGCAAAATGAGGAGCCTACACTTCACTAAACAATCTCTTCCACCCCTTTAGATCTAACAGCTTATAAATACAAACATCTGCCACTTAACCTAAGAATACAGTTGTTTCTTTGGTTCCTCTTCAAAAGGAATTCCACTCTCT